TATTCATATTCTACTGCCTTTGTTACTCAACTTGGTTTCACCATTCTCTGCAATTCATTTGCACCTTTCAGCATCTATAGGACATTAACATATGCAAGGCACTGTGCTAGGCGCATGGAGTATATAAAGATGAGTAAAACACAGGGAGGATATAAAGATGAAGAAAATCATCCCTAATTTCAAACAGCTCACAGTCTATAGGAAGGACACACACAGTTAATTAACTATAGTAGAATACAAGATGTTCTATTAAAAAAGAAGAGAGCGTCTCCTGCTGTTAGTCTCATGTCTGTCAATATGTTTTCAATACTGCAGCCACAGGCTTTCCAACCACTCTCACCTGCAGCATGTGGCTACATTGTTTGTCTACTCTCTTCTTTGCACCACTACTTAACCTCCATTGCCTCACCGTCACAATAATGTACTGCAATCATTGGTTTACTACTCTACTACTGAGTTCTTTGAGGGCAAAGGCTGTCTTCTATTTGACCTTACAGCCCCAGTACCTTCCTAACACAGTACATAGTATGTGGTAGAAACATTTGAATGATGGCTAACTGAATGAACAAAGGATTGTGGAATCACAAGGGAGGAATTGGTCAATTCTACTTAACAGATTAGTAGGGTATTAAAGAAGATTTCACAGATGGAGCTAGATGACAGTAAGTTGCTAAGGGGTAGTGATGCTTTACCACCACAGTGCTTGGCACAAAACATTTACTATAACACAGGATGGAGGAATGAATGGATGGACAGATGGTTGAAGAAACAAATACATACAAATATTTTGATGACTCGCCTATCAATCAACATAGACCTGATTGGAAGGAGATACAGCAAATCTTCTATTTCTATTATGATTAATCTCCTAAGGCTAAAATGGTTTAAATTGAGCTTAGAATTTTGCTTATTACTCATTAATTTATAATAGACTAAAAATTATATGAGAAAGTTCTGTGTTTTTTCCAATTTTTTATTCTGCTAAAATATACATACAATTTATCATTTTAACCACTTTTAAACATACAGTTCAGTGGTCTATATATGTTTTAATTATATTTTCTACCAGAGGTCACTTTCACAATGCAGACTATTTTAAGAGAAGCGCCTCTTCATTAATTTTGTTTTTACTGATTTGGTGCTTACTTGGCCTTAATAGCTACAAGAATCTTTCTAATACCTTGGATTCCCTGCCTTCAATCCTGGGAGCCATCCTGGAAAGAATGATACTTGTAGAGGACACTGACGAGGGTGTCAGGAGAGTGGTCCTGCCACTCACCAAGCAGATGATGCCATACAAATCACTGGTGGATTCTCTTATCCACTGACTTTATGAGGCTCTGGGAAAGCCTGCAAACTACTAGCAAAAAGACACTTAAACATCACTGAGAAAAGATAGTCGGTAAATGTTAAAGAAGAAGGATGACAGGCTGGATGTGGTGTCTCATGCCTGTAATCCCAGCACTTTGGGAGGCTGAGGCAGAAGGATTACTTGAGCCCAGGAGTGATCAATATGGCAACATAGTGAGACCCCATCTCTACAAAAAATAAAAACAAAAATGAATAGCTGGGCATGGTGGCACACACCTGCAGTCCCAGCTACTTGTGAGGCCAAGGTGAGAGGATCACTTGAGCCTAGGAGATCGAGGCTGCAGTGAGCTGTGATTGCACCACTGCACTCCAGCCTGGGCAACTGAGCAAGACCCTGCCTGAAAAAAAAAAAGGATGACAGTAAGACAACAACTGTGCAGTTCTGCCCTCTTCTAAGGAAGGATTAAAGAAGTTATTCCTCATATGCCTACATGTTAATGAGGCCCTTAAATTAATGTGATTGAAGAGGGTCACTCTGTATCTTTATTTTATATATTGGGCGTGAAAGAATCACAGGCAAGTTGATTTGGACTGGATGTGGGAGATGAGCCAACTGTCACTTTTTATAAAGTTCTAGAAGCCTGAAAAGGTACTGGGGACAGAAAGTGTGCTGTGAATACAAATATGAGTAAAACACAAACCTTGCTCTTGGGGAGCCTGTGGCCTTATGGGTGGAGTCAGATGTTATAAAAATATCAATTTTTGCAGAGTGTAATAAGCACTTTAAAATAAGGTTTGCAGAAAGAATAAATGGAATATTTATGCCCGGGAATTTAGGAAAGAAAAATAAGCCTGTTCTTTAACACCAGGGACCATTCCTTATTCACCCTTATTTATGGCCAGTGCCTGGAAGGTAGTAGGCACCAACATTTCTGATCAAATAAATGAACTCTCATATATATATATATTCATATATATTCATATATATATATATATATGAATGAATGGAAAACCCAAATATCTGGAAGTAAAATGCATGAAACAGTAGTTATCTTTACCCAACTCCTTGGGTAACTACCTCCCCTCCGCTAGGACAACAGAAAGCTACAAAAGGCTCTTCCCATCAATGCCTCCTGAGCACACTCCTGTCTCTCTTTCCTGTCCCCATAGCCTAACTCCTTCTCCCCATCCCCTACACTATTTTTGTTCACTTTCTAGTTAGCCTTTATGTGGATTTCATACCCTGCTTTCCTCTTCCAGTGCTCTAGCTCCCCATTCACTGCTGTATTTGGTGTGAATGTCTCTGCAGTACAAGCTATTTTAGTAGTCAGGGCTGGAAGAGACACTGAGAGAGCTTCTGGCCTCCACTCAAGGACCTCCTCCTAAACACTTCTCTGTGATGGCAAGTATCTAGAAAATGCTGAAGAGCATTACGGAGCTTCTCTGCTCTTCCCAAGGCACTCAAAGGAAAGAGAGCATGTACATATGGGAGAAGGATGCAAATGAACGGACCCAAACATAGGATGCTTAGGTTGGGAATCAAGGTAGAACTCTAAAATGCCAATTTTCATTGCGCTGCTGATGGCTGGGCTCTCCTTCCTTTCCTTCCCTCTTTCCATCCCTCCCCCACACCCCCCTGACTCCATCTGTCTGTCTTTCTCTCTCTCACACACGTGGGTGCGCGCGCGCGCACACACACACACACACACACACGGTCTCGTTCTGTCACCCAGGCTGGAGTGCAATGGCACAATCATGGCTCACTGTAGACTCAATTTCCCAGGTTCAAACAATGCTCTCACCTCAGCCTCCTGAGTAGCTGGGACTACAGGTGCATGCCACCATGACCAGACAATTTTTTATCTTTTGAAAACACGGAGTCTCACTATGTCTCCAACTCCTGGCCTCCCAAAGTGTTGGGATTACAGGCGGGAGTCACTGTACCCGGCCTTGGCTATAACTTCTTTCCATAAGGCCCAGCTCTGAAGAGCCAATTGTGGAACTTCAGTAACTCTGACGGCAGGTAGAGCACAGTGCCAAACATCAGTATATCTACCCTCCTTCCAGGTGATTTAGTCTCACTTCACATTTCTTTCCATCACCTCCCTCCTTTCCTTGCTCCAGGTAATAGGCCTAGTGTGCCTTTCTTCCCCTCTTCTTTCATGGCAGGGGAGACCCCAGAAAGGCAGTGGTGTGTATTGGTTGGTTAAATGGGTTCAAATCCTGCCTGTCCACTTTCCTATACTTATCTATGTGTAGCCATGGATAAGTTATTTAACCTCTCTGAAGCCAGTAAAATGAGGATAATACCACTTACCCCATGGGTTTACAGTAAGGACTAAACTAAATATAACATAAGTAAAAGCACCCAGCAGAGGCACTGGCAGATTGTAGGTACTCAATAAACATTCTCTCCTTCGTCCTGTTCCTGGACACACCATACGTCTTCCAGGTACCAAACCATCCAGAAGCCACAAAGGCTGGAGGGGAAGGAAGCAGGCGGTAGAGAGCATGTATCCTTTCCCATACTCCTCATTTAGTGTCTTTCCTTTTTAGAGACAAGGATATGATAGGAGAGAGGATAATTTAAATAAGTGATTCATAATGAAACATAGAAATCAGGAGCCTCTTTCATGGGGCTGCTGTTTAGAGGAGGTAGCACCTGCTTATTGGCCCAGCTCAAGAGATTCAAAAAGAAATTTCTTCCTTGTCTTTATGTCACTTGTGACATGACAGGAGACAGGATAAACTTGCCTTAGCCATTTTCTGTCTTCTAATCTGTAAACACATCATCCAAAATTCCTTCCTTCCCCCATAAAAAAGACTAGAAGAACTCTGGAAATAAGCTGCTATGGCTGAGTGCATTGTTTCAATGTGGGTTTCAATTTGGAGATTTAATAAATGTTATGAAAGCACTACTTCCCCTAACCTCTCACATAGCACATGACAACCTTAGTGAATATTTAACACCTTACCTTTACTTTTTCACCATTAATCTCCACTGTCTTAATCATAAAATCAACTCCAATTGTGGCTCCTTGACCTGGGGGGAAAAGACCCTGAAGAAGAAATAATGGAAAAGAACATCTAAGCAAATATTTCCATTAAATGAAATTCTTTCTCCTCTCCCCCAGTAACACCCATCACCAGGTCCTTCCTTCAGCTGAGTTGACTGGTAGAAAAGAGAACTCTGGTTACCCTCAAGGGAGCCCTGTGCAACTCTGTATGCATGTCTTAAGGAAAAGAGAAAAGAGGGAGAAAGTGTGAGAGAGAAATGCTGAAACAAGAGGAAAGAGATAGGAGGACAGAGAAAAGGAGATAAGACAGGTGAAGGAGAAAACTGAGAAAGGGCAGGGGAACCTGATTTTAAGAATGAAACAGAAAAATCAGACATGAAGATAAGATTGAAGGGCATGCAACCACAGAGATGATATCAGAATCGGAAAGGTCAGGGCCAAACGGATAGGTTCTTTCTAAGAAGTAAAATCAAGGGTACTTAAAACTAGTTATCAGTCTTGAGCATGGACAGCCATGGGAGTGGGCAACAATATGAAAAAACAAATAAAAACTCAGCATGAGAAGCAGGAATAAGAGAGTTTTGGGATCTGTCTTTTTGGATCTCCAGAAGCTTCTGAATTTTCCTTTGCCCCAGGGTGATCACTGTTTTCCTCAGTGCAATGTACCATGCATATGTAATTACATGGATCAAAGCCAATGACACTGGGAAGATAATCTAAGAAAATTAAGTCATCAGGGAGACAGTAGGGTAGAAACAGCATTAAACCAGGAGGCAGCAGCCTTAGAATCTCTGTGTAACCTCAAACAAACCACTCACCCTCTCTGGGCCTCAAATTCAATAAGTTTGAGGCTGATGTAAGCCATTTTAAAACAAACAAACAAAATGCTTTACTTCAAACTGGAAACTTAACCAGAAAGATGAGATTTTAACAAAGGCACAAGTATAATTTATGCAATTTACTATTACATACTGTTTCCTATAAGCTTAGGGAGGGAGTTGGGGGTAGCAAGAAATTCTGTCAAGAAAGAACTCTTCACCCAGTTTCTCTTTCCTCTTTACTTATATTCCAGAATTTCCAGAAATTAAAGTAAAATTGACTTTATTAGTTCTGGCAACTATGACGCAGATATCTTTAATTAAGAATTATTTAATTAAAGTTTTAGCTTAAAAGATTGAACTTCAAACCAAAAGAAAATGTTCTACTGCATGTCTGCAAAAGATGTAAATATAAACATTCATAACTTTACTTTCAAATATTGAATCAATTTTCTTCTGTTTTGGTTTGGCTCAGAAACAAAAGCTGCCAAGCTTCAAGTTTATAGCTCCAGATGTTTGCACCTCAACAAATGCCAAAAAGTTAAACAAATTCTTCCCAATGTTTCACCTACCATTTTGTTCCCCAACCCCTGTGCCTAAAAAACAGCTAGATCCAATTCATTTTAACTGTCTGCTAAATAATAAAAACAAACATAATCTTGCCTCTGAAATATGAGTTTATGGTGGAGTTGAGGGGCTGGGAGGGGTAAAATGTAGACACAAAAGACAAATAAGAAAGAAGAAAAATGTGCTTGTTGGCAAAAAATTACTGTTGAAAATGGAGACATTTTCACATCCAATGACAGAGTTTGTGCTTTTAAAGAGAATGGTCTCAGAAGTTAGAATGTATAGGAGGTAGAAATTATCAGGCTTAGAACCTGGAACCCGGGTTCTAATCCTAGCCTTGCCACTCTATCTAATCTCACAATATAAGATCCTAAGCAAGGCATTTAGCCCCTCTAGATCTGACCTTTCATCTATAAAGTGAGAGAGGGGGGTTGAACAATGTCCTAAGTGACCTTTCAATACTAAGACAAGGTCAAGGAAACTTTTGATAAAGGGACTGAAAACTTTGCTACATCTCTGTGTCTTATCCTTTTGTCAAAAGCAGAAAATATGACTAATGTTAGGTAGAAGTAAAACCAGTTGGAGTTTCCCATATATCCCCATGGCGGCTGACTGAGCCCAGATGCCTATTAGCTTGCTACTTTTGGTTTCAGCAGGCCACGGCTTAAAAAGCATGGGTTCTATTCACTTATCATGGGAAAAACCCTGACATTGCCAAAGTGACTCTGGCCCCTCTAGCTGTTTGTTATTCAATCTGCCTCTCTCGTTCTCCACAAAACCACAGACTGTCAGAGCTGGAAGGGGCCTTGGAGCTCACCCAGCCCCTAATGCACAACAGGCAGCCCCAGGAAAGGGAGGTAACTTACCCAGGCTCATAGAGCAAGCCAGGGGCAGAACCAGGACTAGGACCCATGTCTCAACTCCCAAGCCAGTGCTCTTTCCACAGCGCCAGGTTATCCTATGCCTTAGATAGGGGGGCAGGTGCCAACTTGCTGAACAAATACTTTATGAAAATTCAAGATATGTATGTAATGGTCCTACGAAGGGTACCATTCATATTTTTAGGGGAAAACACATAAAAAAGGTCAACTTCGGAATGAGTTCTCACTCGTTTCCATATGAAAGCAGTATATAATCTCCAGCAGTGATTCTCAAAAGGGTAGTCTCCAAGGGAACTTGTACTTAGATCATATGTGATAAGAATCGAATCCAACCCAGAGGGACCATTCAATTCAGTTCAGATAATTCTTCACTATTTTCATGTCGTTCCCACTGAAGAGATTTAGAAAATTGGCCTATTTGCTCCTAAATGAAAATGATTCATTCAAGTTTCCTGGGAGGATTAAAGGGGGCCTAGGCAGAATTTGACTGGTTTAATTTGTATTAGAGTTTTAAAAAATTTAGGTTCAGTTTGATGTCTAGATTCATTTGTTTCCACCTGGGGATTATTAACTAGTAACTTACTTTTATCCAATAATTTAGTTTTGATACTGCACACTGACAGCAAAACCACTTGCCTTTGTCATTAAAGGAAGCAAGAAGAGGCGTGGGAGGGTTGGTGGAGACTCCCAGGGCCATGCTCCCAGGAGGTGGTTTAAAACAGATGTCTCCGATAGATTGTTGGTGCATGCTACAAAAAGAGCGGAATATGAGCCAAGGAAATAGCTTGTTTTTCCAGAAGGTCCCCTTTGGGAAGACTTATTATTGTGACCTGAAAATGTTAATTTGAAGATGTGGGGCAGGGACAGTGACATTTCTGTAGTCCTAGATGCACAGAATTATGGGAAAGAATGTTGATTTCTATACAGTGTGGCGCGCTTTTTTAATAATCATTTAATCTTGGGAAAATTGAAAAAAAAAAAAAATCCCTTGTCTAGGCTACAAAGCAGATGCAGCTTTCAAAGGGTGCATCAGGAACCCACAGCTAAGCCCCTGGCATTGAAACTGGTCATCCATCTCGACAGATTTCCCCAACCCCTCAGGCTAGACTGACAAACCCAACCCTGGGCTTACGAGTTCCCTTACCTGAGTGAATCTTCGGACGAGGCACGTCTTCCCCACACCAGCGTTGCCAATTAAAACAATTTTGAACAGGAAATCATAATCTTCCATACTCATTTACACAGCTGCAAGGCAAACACAGGCAAAAGTGAGAAGGGCCCAGTCAGACTTGCCCACAGAGCTCAAGCTGCGCCAGCCTCGTCTCCGGGGGAACAAGTCTGACTCATTTAAAGAGCAATTTAAAGCTCCCCTCTGGTGACCCTGCCAGCAAGACAGAAACACAGGTGTTTGGTCACAGACGGACTTTATTCCTTCTCAGCTACCTCATGCCACAGAGAATAAATGACGCAGATGTCTTTTCACCTGGTAACCTTTATTCCTCCAAGCTATCATGTCACAGTTTCCTCCTGCAATAAATCTGTTTTCTTTCAGCATGAAAAGGAGATGACAAATCCATGTGCAGGCAAGCTGGGGTGCAAAAAAGCAAGGACAATAGAGAGCCCATCCAGAGCTTAAAGGACATTTGTGGAATGTATATGACTGGAAAGAAGTGCTAGTGACGGGGAGACTGAATGAAGGGGAAGGAACTATAAAGGGCCGTTTTAGTCTCCTGCTTCTGGAAGTCTTAGGGTCCTACCAATGGTAGTCATAGCCATCTTTCCCCTCTACCTCCTACATGTCTCCTGCCAGCCATGCTGATGCTACAGGGCCTCCCAAAGTGCTTTTCCCAAAGTTCACTCCTCTGGGCTTTGGTATGTGCCATTTCTTCTGCCTGGGATGCCCTCCCTTCCACCCATTCTGCCCCTTGAAGTCCTTGAAGGTCCAATGCCAGCATCTCTTTCTCTTTGAATCTTTCACTGATCTTCCCCAAATAAAGCTAAACACTTTCACCACTCCTCTGTCCTAAAACTTCACTTGCTGTATACAATTCTTTGTTCAAATATCTGCCTCATCCTTAAGGGATGGGATTATGCCTTTCAGTTCTATTTCCTAGCCCCTGGACAGAGTTACACTTTGTAAATGTCTATCCTATTGAAATAAAAAATTAGTTAACGGGCATGTTGCTTATGTATACGCCTTAGTTTCTCCAACTGCACTAGAAAGACTGTGACTAAAAGGGCATACTAAAAGAATGCTCTGTCTACTTCAGTGGACTGCCGTTAAGATTTTTAAAAACTTACAAAAGAACCTTATACAAAAATTACCCAGGTGTGGTGGCGCGCTCCTGTAATCCCAGCTACTCAGGAGGCTGAGGCACAAGAATTGCTTGAACCCAGGAGGCAGAGGTTGCAGTGAGCCGAGATCACACCACCGCCCTCCAGCCTGGGTGACAGAGTAAGACTCTGCCTAAAAAAAAAAAAACAAAACCAACCTTGATACACATAAAGCGCTATCCTGGTAAAAGCAATTGTAATCTACTGGGTGCCTACTACAGTACTACAGGAAATACAGAGAAGAGACAATGTCTGCCCTCAAGACCAACATGAGAAAAGTTAAATAATGAAAAAAAAAAAAGCTAAATAACAATTTGCGCCAACAGTGGAGCTCTTTTCCTAAGGTGTAGGCAGAACAGACCCAGTAGACTCTGGAGAGACAGGAAATGGGCAATAAGGGAGCTCAGGAGGGGAAAGGTGCTCGGGAGGGTAGGGAAGCCTCAGGGTCACTCCTACCAGCAGACCTGGAGCTCAAAAGCCTGTAGCCTTGTAGGGCAGAGAGCAGAGCCCAATTAGCTGAACCTGTCAACTAGCCAGGGGAGAAAATTCCATGTGTGCAAAGATGATGCCTGTGTAGATTTCAATTAATCCTTGGAAAAATAACTGACAACCAAGCCAACATGTAGGTGGCAGGTCATGGGGTTCCATCCCAGTTCACTGGGACTGTGAAGGAAAAACATTTCTCTGTACAAGAATCTGGGTCCATGAGCAGTGGTAGCATTATACTTGGCCCTTTATGTGTATTTCCATTTGTTTCTACAAGTATACGAGGTTTGTATTTACTAACACATTATCTATTTTACAGCTCAGTGAACTAAGGTTAAAGGAAATTAAGAGGGTGGCCTGAAATCATAAAGTTAAGAGCCAGACTTCATGTTCCAAAGGCATATAGTATCGTAAAAAATGGAGCCAGAGAGACCGAGGTTCATACCTGGCTGCACTGACCTTCTAAATCTGTGCCTTTGGGCAAATGACAATTTTTCAAAACCTCAGCTTCCCCATCAACAAAATGGGGCTAATAACACCTATACCACAGAATTGTGATGCTTGAAAGAACGCATGGGAGCCCCTAAGGACAGTACCTGGCTCTTTGTCACCCAAACTCCTTAAAATGATTCTCAAATTTTCCATGATCTGGTTCCTGCTGTCACTGCCAGCTCTGTCTCCTACCACTCTCCTCACAATCCACATTCTAGGCTCACTGGATTTCCTCAGTTGCTTAAATACCATGGGACTGCCTTTCTCCTTAGACCTTCACATATATTGTTCCGTCTGCCTAGAACACAAAACACAACTGAACCTCGCACCCTCGCCCACCACCCCAAGCCTCCTCTAGATCTCAGCTTCAACATGACTTCCTCCAGTCTGCTCCTCTAACCTACGAAGGGCCTGGGCCTCCCGGCTCCAGGCTCCCACAATGCCCTCCTCCTCTCCTGCTGTAAACTCACCATGCTACCTGTAATTAATTATTCACATATCTCACACTCCGGCCCCATCCCTCAGCACTTCAGCCCTACACACGTGTACACTCATGACTGTGAGCAGCATGAGAGCAATGAGGTGTCTGGTTGAGTCCCTAACTGTGAGCAGCATGAGAGCAATGAGGTGTCTGGTTGAGTCCCTAACTGTGAGCAGCATGAGAGCAATAAGGTGTCTGGTAGAGTCCTAACCCCTCCCCATCATCATCGTCTCATTCTATATTCCTAAGTCATTTAATCCTCAAAACAACCCTATGAGGGGGATGCTATACTATTAGTATCCTAATTTGGTAGAGGGGGCTGCTGAGACACAGAGAAGTTAAATAAGCAGTCATAAGGTCCCACAGCTGATAACTAGTGGAGCTGAGATTCATACCCAGATAATCTGGCTCTCGCATTCATGTCCTTGAACCACTACCCAAGTGACTTTCACAATGCTGGCTCAGAGCAAAAGCTCAAGAAAGATGGATGAATTACATGATGAAGGACAGGCACTTAATCAATGTGATCACTCTTTCCTCTTCCCCTCTGGCTTCAAATATAAAACTCTACCACCCTGTAGAAGTTAAACAAGAATCAAAGTCAAACTCCTGATAAACACTCAGGGACATGATATGTAAACTAAAATTCAATAAAGCTATTAGAAAAAAAAATCATAAAACTCACGGAAAGGCACACAGGCAGCAGGAAGGCATGAGGCTCTGTGGACCACAACTCTCTGCTTTCATAAGCCCATAAGAAACAGGAAACACAGGACTGGACTGCATTCTTTTTCTGTGCCTAGATTGTTTGACACACACTCATTTCTACATCTTTGCTGGAGGTCAAAGAACCAAAGCAGGAAATCCAGAGGAGAATGTCAAAAATAAAGACTTTAGAAATAGGGCTCTTAAAGAAGGTTCACAGTGCCCCAGTGATGCACCTTTAGAAAAAGAAGGTGAAAAAAAGGCTTTGTTATAGTGAACATTATCTCATGTGGTTACCACCTGGAGCAGGCTACAGAATAAGTTAAGACACTACCTCTTTCTATAAGAAATTAATGCTCTGTTGAATGTGTTTTTGTTTGTTTTGCTTTCTTTTGTTTTTGAGGCAGGATCTTGCTCTGTTGCCTATGCTGGAGTGCAGTAGCACGATCACGGATGAAACGACCCTCCTGCCTCAGCCTCCCAAGTAGCTGGGATTACAGACACAAGCCACTGTGCCCAGCTAATTTTTAAAATTTTTTTGTAGAGACGGGGTCTCACTATGTTGCCCAGGCTTGTCTTGAACTCCTGGCCTCCATCAGTCTTTCCACCTCAGCCTTCCAAAGTGCTGGGATTACAGGCATGAGCCACCATGCCAAAATGTTGGATGTTTTTAAAATGGACCTCTGGGTAAAAATTGGTCTTTAATAATGCAGGCTGTCTATGGGTAAAGCTGGACTGTAAACTCCAGGTTATCTGTTGTAGTTACTGTTTCGCTTCTAATGGAAAACACATTACTGAACGAAAAGATCACAAGATTATCTGCAAACTTCTACTCTTTGAGGAAGCCCTTCTGTTTGGTACATAAAGTAACAGCCCAGGCATCACCAATCCACATGTGATGAGATAGCATTTCCCCCTGAATAAGGGAAACCCATTCAGAAGCATTTACACCCAGCCCTAAATTGACAACAAAAGTCATGCCTCATCTGGGGAGCAGACATGCCACAAGATATGCTACTAACCAAACACTACTGCCGTATTTTATATTCTATTATTGTTAACATTGATAACAGCTTAACATTGATAACATTGATATTCGGCGCTTTTTATGTCTTGGGTACTCTTCTACATGTATTTGCTCATTTAATCCTCATAACTCTATGATGTAAGTACTCGTATTATCCCTAACTTGCAGAAGAGGAAGCTGAGACAGAGATATCATCCTAAAATCACACAGCTAGTTAGTCTCAGGACCAGGATTCAAACCTAGATCCATCTGACTCCAAAGCCTAGTTCTTTCTGCAACAGGATGCTGCTACCCTCTGTCTTGTAATTAACATTGTCTCTCTGTCATGAGAGCTAGAGGCTCAGCTGAATGAGGCCCCAGGTCCTTTGAACTGCAGTGTTCTAGAATCTTCCTGCTCTGGAAGCAACACACCCACACTGATGGAGCCACACACTGAACTTCAGATTACACAAGCGCTGTTCCTCACCTTGCCCTCCAGCCCAGGATTCTTTCAGGACCTGAAGTCACACTTCAGCTGCATCACTCTCACAATTCAGTCATCATTCATCCCTGTAAGTAAGTACCAGGCATAGGGAATATAAACAGGAGCATAGATGAGCAGGCAAAATCCCCAGTATCATCATCACCACAACAGTTGTAAATAAATGGATACATGGATAAGATTCAAACTGGAAAAATAGATGAGCAAGATAAAAAAAAAATGAATTTTAAAAAGGTACA